TTACTCTATATTCTGATTTTTATTTTTATTTTTATTTTTATTTTTATTTTTTGATAGGTACATATCACGCTCTGATCTATAAAAAACATGGTGATGTATAGCTTATTATGTATGCCAATAACAGGTATTAACTCTAGCAAAATAGAGAAACTTCAAACTATCTAGCCAAGGAATTTTAAAAAAAGGATTTGGGAACTCTAAAATGCTCTTGAGCGTTGAAGTGTCTCGGTCAAAACAATGGCTTCTTCTCTCCGAATGAAAGTATACACTAGATCTCTTGGCAGAAACTGGCAACTCTATGAGCCTATAGGCACTCCAATTGTGGTAATTGGTAAATCATGATCCATCTATCTACCTTAATCCCCTAACAAACAAAGGAAGGGAGAAAAGACTAGCAGGGAAGTTGATCAATCTAACATACACCATCTATGACTTGTCGTATTTAATGTGAGTCAATTCATGCATAATCCAAATAATCGGCACATGAATGCAATTAATCGTATATTAACATGTTTAAAATCCTCGCCAGACAAAGGTATTCCATTCTCCAAACATGGACATCTAAATATTATGGATTATATAGTTTCTAATTTTGTTGGATCGAGATTGGATAGAAAGTTTACATCAAGGTATGTATCATTTGTTCGAGGCAATTTGGTGACTTGGAGTAAGAAACAAAATGCCGTATCAATGTCGAGTGCTGATGCTGAATACCGTGCTCCCCATCATACAACTACCAAATTTACATAGCTGAAAATACTTCTTAGCGAGCTTGGATTTGGTCCAAAGAAACCCATGTTACTTTCTTGTGATAACGCAGCAACTACTGGGAATGGATTATATAGTTTCTAATTTTGTTGGATCGAGATTGGATAGAAAGTTTACATCAAGGTATGTATCATTTGTTCGAGGCAATTTGGTGACTTGGAGTAAGAAACAAAATGCCGTATCAATGTCGAGTGCTGATGCTGAATACCGTGCTCCCCATCATACAACTACCAAATTTACATAGCTGAAAATACTTCTTAGCGAGCTTGGATTTGGTCCAAAGAAACCCATGTTACTTTCTTGTGATAACGCAGCAACTACTGGGATAATTAATTATCGAGTACAACATGATCGAACCAAACCAAGCACACTGAACTTGACAAGAACTACATAAAAAAAATAAAAAATAAAAAATAAAAATGAACATCTAGCACACCAATCTGTCCAATTGTTAAAGCAATTTTTCCACCTGCTGTTTCAGACCATGAATATTGATTGTTTTTCATTGAGAAAAATTGCACGCTATCTAAATATCATGTCCCCTATGAAAGATTCATCTCATTTGTCTGCATTTACCTCAATTCCCCCATCCCCCAACCAAAATTTCCAAATCATAAAATGATCAAGCGTGTCAACAGATCGGAAAAATTAAAATTCTAATGGATATCATAAGTGAAAAAGAAATGAAAAATTTTCCAAAACAATGGAGAAATCCATAGTTAGACTTGTTAGAAAGGATTAGATACAGACCTGCACTGCAGAAGCAGTTTCCAGAGCTATAGTCTGACTTACAGCAACGTTGCTTTGAAAAAAGTTAATAATTTGATCAATGGAATCCTTCAAGTACTGGGCCAACACATCTAATCAGTGAGAAGCCAGAAAATAAATAACAGATTTTTTATGAATAATAAATTATGTCTTACAGTCACATAACAGGGTGAAGCTTTGGCAACAAAGCTCCAATCTACATCAGCATCAAAAGGCTTATAGCAGAAGACACCAAATAATGAATCGTAAGAACTTTCACTCTGAAAAGAAGATGAAACAATTCGTAAAATGGAGCCACTGACTGCTGGAAAACAGAGAAGAAAAAGGGGATTCAAATCACAAATCCGATAGAAAAGATGCTACCTCAGCAAGAAGACCATTCGGAGATAACAGTCTGTATGATCCCAATTTTATATCAAAAATTTTAGCCTCTTTATAAAGCTTTATGTAGCAATCAAGATTATCACAGGATAGATCAGCAAGGCACTCCTTAGAATCAATAAGCTTTGAAGCATTGTGTTTCATGTGAACCTCCAATGCAATATGGAGCACATCACCCTTGTCATGGATCAACAATTGTTCATCCTCACCTACCTTGTATCCAATTATATTATTTAATCTCTCCCAATCTTCTTCAGTCAAAGTTCCTGGTACATTCTCATCTTTGACAGGTTGGTTGGTCCTAAGATGGTATGTTGTTATAATCCAAAAATGGTAAGCTCGTAAGATTGTTAGGAGTGTAAAAGGAATCACTATCAAGAAAAAATTACCATCCAAATGACCACCATGATTTCTTTGCTTGTTGCTTGTTTTGGTAGAGATCTGACCCCATCGATTGCTCCACAAACTTGTGGGCCAGCATCCTGTTCAAAGAATGGATATAGCAATTACCTCTAACTCGCAGATGCCAAAATCTAAAAGAAAAATCGGTTAACAGTAATATCTTACTAGCAATTTAGTTAATGCACGAGGTGCCAAATAGATATCATGCATACCAAATTATGTTAATTTAATTAAACAGAAACATAACATTCTGTAGCATTGGGCAATCTATAGAATATGTTATCCTTGGGGAAAAAATAAATAAAAATTAAGCCAAAAGAATAATAAGAGAAAAAGCTCAAAAGTATGTGATTCACTTCTTAAGTGGGTAAATAGAAACTCTTGAAGCCATTAGAAGACAAATGAGAAACAAGCAGAAACAGCAACCTCGGTTATGTGGATGCTTGGACTAAGTGGAAACAAAAGAAACTCTACTTTTGCAGACAGACTCCCAAAGGATATCCCTAAATCAGAAAGATACACAGCAGGTACATAATACGTTAACAACCATTCCCCTGCCCACCCTCACCCAAAAAGTGAGAACACAACAGTGGTTTCTTGGAACTCACATGAACAGCATATAGCATAGATTCATCGCAAAGTAACAAATCAAAGCATATACCTCCACTGAAGAATGACTTCAATATCAAGCTCACGATCTAGTTCCTCAATCTCTTTGTTATCATCAACTATTATCCGATCAGGATCCGATTTAAGCAGACTAGCATACAAAGATATATATTTCTTGCGTAATCTTGCATATCGCAGGACATGCTCCCATGATAATTTACCACTGGCAGAAAAGACAAAAATTAGAAAACAGTAACGAGAAAAACCAAATTTGTGCAAATCATTTAACTTTTCCTCTTAGCAACTCCTACAGCTTTCAACAGAGAGATCAAGCAAGAGAGAGAGGGAATTGACCAGACAATACTCGAACACTTGACATTATCATCACACAAACTGTGAATATTACTTCAGACCTGAATAAAAGTATTCAGAGCAGAAAGCAAAAACTAGAGACAATGACCTAGCTCAAGTGGAAGAGCAAAGCCTTACCAGGTCATTGACCTAGGTTCGAGTCTCACGTGCGAGTAAAGGTGAAACTAAAGAAGAAAAAATGAATTAAAAACTCAGACGAAACTTCAAACTTAATGTCCAAATAAAATGCAACAAGGAGAGTGCATGTGTATTATACTCATTTTTGTCAAAATTATAGTCTTTTATGATGCTCCACAGAAAAATTTATATTTCTTAATAACATGTTAAGCTTATGCAAGTTTTTATAAAATAACATGACACTTTGAGAACACGGCAAAATGTTCGATATAATAAATAATTAGATGGGTACCTCGCCGCCTTCATCTGGTCAGAAACTGCTCTGTAGGCATACTTCCTAATTAATTATCGAGTACAACATGATCGAACCAAACCAAGCACACTGAACTTGACAAGAACTACATAAAAAAAATAAAAAATAAAAAATAAAAATGAACATCTAGCACACCAATCTGTCCAATTGTTAAAGCAATTTTTCCACCTGCTGTTTCAGACCATGAATATTGATTGTTTTTCATTGAGAAAAATTGCACGCTATCTAAATATCATGTCCCCTATGAAAGATTCATCTCATTTGTCTGCATTTACCTCAATTCCCCCATCCCCCAACCAAAATTTCCAAATCATAAAATGATCAAGCGTGTCAACAGATCGGAAAAATTAAAATTCTAATGGATATCATAAGTGAAAAAGAAATGAAAAATTTTCCAAAACAATGGAGAAATCCATAGTTAGACTTGTTAGAAAGGATTAGATACAGACCTGCACTGCAGAAGCAGTTTCCAGAGCTATAGTCTGACTTACAGCAACGTTGCTTTGAAAAAAGTTAATAATTTGATCAATGGAATCCTTCAAGTACTGGGCCAACACATCTAATCAGTGAGAAGCCAGAAAATAAATAACAGATTTTTTATGAATAATAAATTATGTCTTACAGTCACATAACAGGGTGAAGCTTTGGCAACAAAGCTCCAATCTACATCAGCATCAAAAGGCTTATAGCAGAAGACACCAAATAATGAATCGTAAGAACTTTCACTCTGAAAAGAAGATGAAACAATTCGTAAAATGGAGCCACTGACTGCTGGAAAACAGAGAAGAAAAAGGGGATTCAAATCACAAATCCGATAGAAAAGATGCTACCTCAGCAAGAAGACCATTCGGAGATAACAGTCTGTATGATCCCAATTTTATATCAAAAATTTTAGCCTCTTTATAAAGCTTTATGTAGCAATCAAGATTATCACAGGATAGATCAGCAAGGCACTCCTTAGAATCAATAAGCTTTGAAGCATTGTGTTTCATGTGAACCTCCAATGCAATATGGAGCACATCACCCTTGTCATGGATCAACAATTGCTCATCCTCACCTACCTTGTATCCAATTATATTATTTAATCTCTCCCAATCTTCTTCAGTCAAAGTTCCTGGTACATTCTCATCTTTGACAGGTTGGTTGGTCCTAAGATAGTATGTTGTTATAATCCAAAAATGGTAAGCTCGTAAGATTGTTAGGAGTGTAAAAGGAATCACTATCAAGAAAAAATTACCAT